CGATCACACGTCGGATCCAAGTCCCTTTTGAATTTGCACAATCTGTCCTTAGACCAGTGTAGACGATGTACTACCTTGAATTGAACTATAACATGTTTCACGCATATTGAGGACGAATACATATTTTGATTAATTTTTTGCCAAACTGAGTCTGATACRGATTCCTCCAAGTCCATCTCCCACTTGCTAGCTCATTTAATCTTTTAACAACAAAACTAGCTAGCTCTATTGCAGTATTGCACAAAGGAATTATTCAATGACAAAGCACTGCTTATGTTGTATAATGCAATAATTGTTCCACATTGATGTTTGGGGAAAAGCATGTAAAATTATCACAAATTCTATTTTGTTTCACCAAGAAAAGAGCAGTAAGAATTATAACAAGAAAACCTTACAGTCACCCATCAAATATATTGTTCCATCAGTTGAAGTTAATGAAGTTCTATGATTTGGTTTATCACAGTATTTTATCAGTTTTGTACACGGCTTATAAARACATCTCCATCTTTATCGTCCTCCACTTATCAAGTGTTGAAGGCAACAGGTCCAGGAGAGAAACCCAAACATCTCCAGCAACACTTTCCAGCTCATCCTGGGGGGCTCCTGAGGCGTTCCCAGGCCAGAGAGGATACCAATCCCTGCAGCGAGTCCTGGGTCTTCCCCTGGGCATCCTACCAGTGGGATGTGCCCAGAACACCTCTAATTTGATGAAGACAAACATAAGTTTGTCAGTTCTCAACATGATCTAAGTTTACAGGTTTTCAATAAATGGTGGTGGATAACATGCATCTTTTGAACAGTCAGGTTCCAAAACAGCAAAATCTTGTTAATCATTATTTCTCCCCACAGTAGTGAAACTAAAAATGTCTATTTAATTTGGAGAAATAAAAACATAAAAACTGAACAGTTTAAGGATGTTTTTGAATTTCTCTGTCAATAAAAACAAAACTTTGTGCTGAAAAAGATCAGAACACATTTCCTGTGATCATCTTTATTAGTGAATAAAAACAAAACAAATYAGGATTCATTCATGATTCAAGCCTTTATTTTGATGCCCGTTTTTATTTATCAAAGCACAATGTAAAAGAAGCAAAAATGTGGCACACATTATAACTTAGGAATGAAAATGGTTCCAATAAAAGTGTTTAAATGATTATTTCACCTTTTATGTAAACTATAAAATACGGAATCATAGAGCTGTCACATGAATGAAATTATTTTTATACTGGATCTCACTATAACAAGAAAACTATCTCATTATAATGAGAAAACTATCTTGTAAAAACGAGAAAACAATCTTGTCATATCAAGATAACCATCTCGTTATAACGTGTTATAATTTCTTATGGTTTGTCACTTTCACAGAAGTTTATTGCCTGGATGGTGTGATGGAGAACACGACTGAACCAATATATAAACAAAAACAAACAGAATTATTTAGGTTTGTGCTCAGACGTTGCAGCTAGTAGCACTTCTTTAGCAATATTCACTCTCTAATCTGAATTCAGACGCTCATTTCAAAAACATTATTCAGTACTAACTTGTCATTTTTTAATCTAGAAATGTGTTCCTCTTGCAGATTTCTCCTTCGTAAAAAGGCATATAGTGGCTCAKTCGTGTTCTCCATCACACCATCCAGGCAATAAACTTCAGTGAAAGTGACAAACCAGAAGAAACCATAACATGTTATAACGAGATGGTTATCTTGATATAACAAGATAGTTTTCTCGTTTTTACAAGAGTTTTCTTGTTTTTACAAGATAGTTTTCTCATTATAACGAGATATTTTAGTCGTTATAACCACATATTTTCTTATTTTTACGAGAGTTTTCTCGTTATAACAAAATCCAGTTTAAAAATAATTTCATGTCATGTGACAGCTCTACGCTTCCGTAATAAAACTTTATTTGTGCACGGCTTCAAAAAGGATTTGCAGTTAAAAAAATAATAGGTTGAAAAAAACCTCCATCAAAATGTCTTTTCTATGGTGATGTAAAAGACAGTAAAAGACTAGTAAATGTAGTTTTTTTGTTTAATGTTTGACACTTTTTAAATTATTATAAAAGTTTTACAAAACATTACTGAACCAAGTAAAAACAATCAGAGAAAAGAAGAAATCCATCTAAAGATCAGGGCCTGTATTTATCCAACTTCTTAGAGTGGGATTTTACATGTAAGTGCTGAAAATCTCTTAGATTTCCTCCTACTCTCAGACTTGTGTAAACCTTTCACCAGGGTAAAAGCACGTTATCAACAAAGTTAAGACTGCTCCAGAGTCTGAAGTGGTTCAGAGTTGGCACTAGGGRTCTGARATGGACTGAAGACAGAGATCACAGCTCTGTCCTCCTCAAGAATACTCTGCAGCACCTCAGAAACTGCACTAAGTGGTCCGGGGGTCCTCCATCTGAGTGTCATTTTCAGTTATAATGTACGGAGGAACTAAAATAAGGTGTGGAAAACAGGTTTAGTCATCAATTCAACATAAAGAAGGGGAGAAAAAAAAAACAATTACCAGTGTCATAATGTTGGGCTAAAAGGTGGATATTTCTGTGTGGCTTTAGGAGAAAATATGGTGAGTGAAAGCAGACAACATTGAATAAATTTATTAGTTATTTAGATACTGATTTTAAAAGCAACACACCATTTCATAGTTTTCTGTTTTAAGTATTGAATTTTATAATCTGTTATTTGACTATTGTTATGTCTTGATTAAACGTTTGTTACATGCCTGAAACACCATGACAGCGCATAGATAAACTGTTAATGAACCATAAGGAAAGTGATTTCTGTTTGAGACTCTGCTGCAGGAATGTAGTGGGCGGGCCAAACACTGAAGAAAATGTTAAAATGATCTGTACTTCCCTGTTCCCGGCAGCGCTGCTTTGATGCTCAAGCCGTGAGCAATTAAACCATGGTTTAGAATCCAGTACTGGTATTTGTATTTGTATTCTCTTCACATTTTAATCTATTCTACCTTCATGTGGTTTATGCCTGGGTAAGACCCGATTTCAGTAAACGAACACTAAATTTTCTTACATGATGCTGTCAAAAGTCTTTTCTCCCCACTGATGGACACAGGGAGACARAGGTCTTCTCAAGATGGCTGGCAGAAATCTTACCCAGTGCCATCAGTGGCCTACAGTCATCAGAACACTGCTGGTGTGTAAGACGAGACTTCAGGTTGAATTCATTAATTTAGTTTTTTATTTTTGTTTGTTATTTGAAGAACCTTGTTAACTTTTTCAGTTCTGTGTTAAAAAAGACGTCAGTGTTTCTGTCAATGAGAAGAAAAAGGAATTAAGAAGAATAAAGTGTGAATAACATTATTTGATTACTTCTGCTGTGAGCTGTGACAACGCTGGGACAGACACAGAAAGTCTGAGGCAGAGCAGACCTCTCATTAGGAAACACACACTGCTTGTTGTTCAGTGACTGCTGCAAAATATTAAACCAAGGCAACCATCATTTTTTGTTCATAATTTTGTTTCATTTTATGAAACATTCAACAGAATCAATAAGCAAAAGCAAAGCCTGACTTGTGTTAAACATGGAACAAACAAGGTGAGCCATGAAACCTTTGTACGTTCATTTCAGAGAGAGTTGTGCTTTTTTCTTGGATTATTGTGTGTAATGAAAAACGTGAGCTTTGATGAAACATTATTTTATTCACTGGGTGAAAGAAAGCGACCTTACATCTGACTTAAAATAAATATTTACAACCATCTCATACATGTCGGACAGCTACTTCAATGTTTAACGGCAAAATTCTTGTGGCTTCTTGTAATCTGAGGAGATTTCACAGCAAACAGGTGGACGTTTTTGTCTGTTCACTCATTTTCTTCTTGAAGTAACGGCTGTGAGACAGAGGAGATGAAGGAGAATTAATGAATGTTTAACTACATCCAAGCTCCAGCTAACAGAGACCATCTCACCGTGTAAGTCATGTTCTCAGGCCTGGAGTCCGGTCTCTGCCAATTACTGTTCAACAGAATGTTGAGGACAACCAACCCAAAGGCTACAATCAAAGCTCCTAACGTGTTTGCTAGCACAGCCTCAGGAGGGAGGTTGTTGTAAGGCTGAGCTCCACTGCTGTTTGCTTTCCTGTGGAACAAGGACACTCATCAGGGGAAAAGCCTGCCGCTTTGATCCTAAAACTTGTCAAAAGTCACGCAGGCAGCACTCACAGGACAAAGAAGAGTTTCTCATTGATGCCAGAGATGCAGGCAGCAACGGTGAGCAGCAGAATGCTGCAGCCCAGCCATACRTGGACAGGTTTCAGCAGCTTACGCAGTGTTAGAGGGGAGCAGGGCAGCAGGAAGCCTGCCAAACCCAGCACCCACTGAACACAGCCGTCACGTGAAAAGGAAAAGGAGGAACATCGTGAGAGTTAGCCGACTGTGAAATATTTCTGTTCCTCCACTGAATCCTGCATACCTGCATGGCAAACAGAGCCACGGCTGTGATACCAATCCAGCTGTGTAACGAGTACATGTTGGAAGTCTTGTGGGTGTTGTGGAAGTCAAAGACGGCACACAGTCCCACGATTGCCAAGATGAGGGATAAGAGCATCAGAGCTGCATGGAGGAGCTTCCAGGGCAGCTTATTCTGACCCCAGGTCAGAGGGATCCGGTACAGCACGGCTCCTGCACACACAAGACCARTCAGACATGCTTGTATTAAAATATCTGACGGTCCATTCAGTCCTGCAGCCTTGGTCTCCCCAGACCTGGCTGACTCCAGGAGGACCTTTACATGATGCAGGCAGTCCATGGACACGTGTGTCCTGTGTGGACAACAGACTGTGTAGGGTTCTGTCTCAGGAGGGGTAAGACATGCAGCCAGAGAGTGAGTGAAGCCTTCAGTGTTAAACATGAAACACCATCATTATACAGAGAAGGCCTCAGGTTCCATCAGACACTGTCACAATCGCCCACACCCAACCGGATCACAGGACGGAGCAGCTTGTGTCCTACAACCAGAACTGAAGAAGCCTTCTGAATGAGCTAATTGGATTAAACCTATAGAGAAYTATCAGGTCCCATCAGACTCTTTACACTTTATTCACACACTGATGGTGGTAAGCTACACTGCAGCCACAGCTGCCCTGGGGCGCACTGACAGAGGCGGGGCTGCCGGACCCTCTGACCACCATCAGTAGGCAAGGTGGGTGAAGTGTATTGCCCAAGGACACAACGACTGATGCTGAAATAATTTCAAAAGTAAAAACTTTTTGTGCCACTGAATCTGTCTGTAAATTATCTGAGATTAACTAAATGAACAAAAGTAAAATGAACAGCTGATCGCTCACTTAAAATGATCTCTGTAGGAAAAGATGAGGGACAGAGGGATGGG